GGTTAGTACTTGTACCCACTTCATTCATAGTTGATTCATTCGCGTTCACTCTTTCACATGGTATTAGAGCCGGTCCCCTCCTAGGCCCACCGAAGCGCGCCCCAAGGCGCGCGTTCCTTTTTTTTAGCGACCCTCCATGTCGCCCCTAGCGGCCCGTTACGCCGCCCTTACCTACGCGGCCCCGCCGCCCTTACGTCGCGGCCCCGCCGCCCTCACGTCGCGGCCCCGCCGCCTCACCTACGCGACCCCACCGCCCTCACATTCGCGGCCCCGCCGCCCTTACCTACGCGGCCCCGCCGCCCTTACGTCGCGGCCCCGCCGCCCATACGTCGCGGCCCCGCCGCCCTCACGTCGCGGCCCCGCCGCCCTCATGTTGCGGCCCCGCCGCCCTTACGTCGCGGCCCCGCCGCCCTCACGTCGCGGCCCCGCCGCCTCACCTTCGCGGCCTCACCGCCCTCACCTTCGCAGCCCCGCCGCTCTCACCTTCGCGGCCCCGCCACCCCTACCTACGCAACCCCGCTGCCCTTACCTACGCGGCCCCGCCGCCCTTACCTACGCGGCCCCGCCGCCCTTACGTCGCGGCCCTGCCGCCCTCACGTAGCGGCCCCGCCGCCTCACCTTCGCGGCCCCGCCGCCCCCACCTAAGTGGCCCCGCCGCCCTCACCTTCGCGGCCTCGCCGCCTGTGCCTACGCGGCCCCGCCGCCTTCTCCTACGCGGCCCCGCCGCCCTCACGTCACGGCCTCGTCGCCCGGTACCGAAGCAGCCGAGCCGCCCAGCAGCAGCCGCCGGGCCGCCTGGCCGCCGAGCCGCAGTTCAGCCGAGCCGCCCAGCAGCAGCCGCCGAGCAGCCGGGCCGCCGAGCCGCAGTACAGCCGAGCCGCCCAGCAGCCGCTGCCGAGCCGCCGGGCAGCCGAGCCGCAGTACCGCCGAGCCGCCCCGCAGCCGAGCCGCACTACTGTCGAGCCGCCCGACCTGCCCTATCTGGTGAGCACAGCCCCACTGCTACTGCGTGCCCTTCCCCCCGCTGCTTGCACTGCTAGTTGGTCGTCATGGCTACCCCTAGTGTCCTTGCTTTTGACGCTGAGGGTCAAGCCATTGACTTTGAGGTCTGGGTCGACGACCTGCAGCTGTTTTTACAGTGCGATAGGGCGGACGGTCTTTCTCTCTTTGACCTCACCTCTGGCGCCTCCCCTGCTCCTGCTGCTGATGCTGACCCCACTGTTTGCTCTCAGTGGGCCACCCGCGATGCTGCTGCACGTCTTGCTGTGCGTCGCCACCTGCCTACCACTAAGCGCGCGCACTTTAGTCAGTACAAGAGTGCTCAGACCTTGTACGACGCTGTAGTTGCGCGCTACACTTCCCCTGCCACTGCTGCACTGAGCCGCCTCATGCTACCGTACCTCTTTCCTGACCTTGCTGCCTTTCCTACAGTCGCTGACCTCATCACGCACCTGCGCACTTCTGACACCCGCTATCGTGCCGCACTTCCTGCTGAGTTCTGCGCCAAGAACCGCCCCCCCCATGTACATCGCTCTCTATTATATAGTCACTCGCCTGCCTGACTCCCTTCGCGTAGTGAGGGACCACTTCCTCTCAGTCTGTCCCACCACCCTCACTGTCGACCTCCTCGAGAAGGCCCTCCTAGCGGCGGAGAAGAGCATAGTCACCACTTCCTCTCGTGGTGACCCGCGCACCCCCATCTTTGAGAGGTGTTCTCCTTCCCCTCTGCTGCCCTCTGTTGCCTCTGCTGCTGCTGCCGACCTGCTTGGTCTTGAGTCGGTCGGGGCGGCGTCTGCCCCTAGCGGGAGACGCCGCCCTGGCAAGGGCAAGGGGGGCAAGGGCGCGGGTGGAGCTGGCGGGGGCGGTGGAGGTGGCAGTGGCGGTGGCGGAGGGAGTGGGGGTGGCGGTGGGAGTGGTGGTGGGGGTGGTGGTGGTGGTGGCGGCAGCGGAGGCGGCGGCGGTGGCGGCGGCGGCGGTGGGAGCGGAGGCGGCGGTGGTGGCGGAGGTGGAGGCGGCGCTGGCGGAGGAGGTGGAGCCGGTCGGGGTAGTGCCCCACAGCGGGGCGGCTCTTGTGGTGGTCAGCGCCAGCAGCAGCAGCAGCAGCAGCAGCAGCAGCAGCGTTCTCGGGACATCCCCCCGCCTCAGCAGCTCCGTGAGTGGTACACGCAGCGTCAGCGTGGTGGGGGTCTTGGCCCGTGCATCTACGTTCTTCGTTCCGGCGACCGCGCGGGTGAGCAGTGTGGGGGTGCCCACTCCACCCAGCGCTGCTTTGGCCGCCTGACGGACGCTTGGCGTCAGCAGTTCCCCAAGGCTAGTGAGATTCCCCGCTGGGGAGAGCTGTCTAGGGCTGGCGTAGCGATCTTTGATCTTGACTTTGATGCTATCCTTGTTGCCATGTATGCTGTGACTATTAGTGATGAGGGTGACTGTTACCGGTGTTTCCCGCCCGACCCGGGCATTGGTACTGCTGCGCTAGGTGCTTTTGAGGCTACTGCTCTAGGTGCCAGTGCGTCTCCACTCTCAGGTACTGGTGAGGCTGCGCTCTCAGGTACTATGTCGGCTTCGGCCTCCCTCACCTTCACACTTGACTCAGGGGCTTCTCGCTCCTTCTTTCGAGACCGCACCACACTCACGCCGCTTGGTCGGCCGGTTGCAGTCTCCCTGGCTGACCCCTCTGGGGGTCCTATCCTCGCTCACTTCTCCACTGTCCTCCCGTGTCCGGCTGCCCCCTCGGGCACCCTGTCGGGCCTGTACCTCCCCTCTTTCTCGACAAACTTGGTCAGCGGGGGACCCACTGCTCAGACGCCCGCACAGGCCGACACCTAGCCACGTTTTCGCGTCGGCCCGGGTCGAGTCTCTACACCCTGACCATTGAGTCTCCTCCAGTCCCTGCGTCTGGCCAGGTAGCTGCGTCGGGTCAGGTGTTTGCTGCTGCGTCCAGGTCTGGTCCTGAGTCTGCCCCCTGCTCGTGTCGCCTCCTGTCTCACGAGACTCTCTTCTGGCACCACCGTCTTGGCCACCCCTCCTTGCCTCGTCTTCGCGGCATGGCTTCCCGTGTCCTTCTGTCTGGTCTCCCCCGGTCTCTCCCTCCCCTTCCTTCGGGGCCAGGACCTTCCTGTGTCCCCTGTGTCGAGGGGCGGCTCCGAGCTGCCCCTCACTCCTCCCAGTTTACCCCGACAGAGGCTCCTCTGCAGACGCTTCACATGGACGTTTGGGGCCCGGCCCGCGTCTGTGGACAGGGTCAGGAGCGCTACTTTCTGCTGGTGGTTGACGACTACTCGCGTTACACCACAGTCTTCCCCTTGCGCAGCAAGAGTGATGTCACTGAGGTGTTGATCGACTCGATCTGCGCGACTCGTCTCCAGCTCAGGAGGAGCTTCGGCTCGGACTTTCCTGTTCTGCGTCTGCACTCTGACCGAGGCGGATAGTTCTCCTCTGGCCTTCTGCGAGCCTACTGTCGTGCACGAGGCATCCGCCAGACCTTCACGCTTCCGGACTCTCCACAGCAAAATGGGATTGCTGAGCGCCGCATTGGCATGGTCATGGACGTCGCTCGTACGTCCATGATGCATGCGGCTACCCCCCATTTTCTGTGGCCGTTTGCGGTTCGGTACGCGGCGCATCAGCTCAACCTTCACCCCAAGGTCTCCCGGCAGGAGACCTCCCCAGCTCTGCTGTGGACGGGGAAGGTCGGCGATGCGTCTGCGTTCCGTGTCTGGGGATCTCGGGCGTTTGTCCGCGACCTGTCTGCGGACAAGCTGTCCCCTCGTGCTGCTCCCTGTGTCTTCCTAGGCTTCCCCCCTGACGCCCCAGGGTGGCAGTTCTACCACCCCTCCTCTCGTCGTGTTCTGTCCTCCCAGGACGTCACGTTCGACGAGTCCGTCCCCTTCTACCGCCTCTTCCCCTACCGCACTCCTTCTCTCCCGCCGCCACCGCACTTCCTTATGCCAGGTCCCCCCCCGGTAGACCCCCTTCCCCCTCAGGGTCCTGCCCCTTCAGGTGTGTCCCCGGTAGATGCAGTCAAGCCGGTCGAGGTTGCTGGTGACTCAGGTACTGCTGGGGGTGCTAAGCCTGGGGGTGCTGAGCCTGGGGGTGCTGACACTGGGGGTGCTGAGTCTGGGGGTGCAAAGTCTGGGGGTGCTGAGCCTGGGGGTGCTGAGCCTGGGGGTGCTGACACTGGGGGTGCTGAGTCTGGGGGTGCTGAGTCTGGGGGTGCTGAGCCTGGGGGTGCTGAGCCTGGGGGTGCTGCCTCTGGGGGTTCTGAGCCTGGGGGTACTGAGCCTGGGGGTGGTGACTCTGGGAGTGCTGTGCGCGTGGGTGTTGAGCCTGGGGGTGCTGAGCCTGGGGGTGCTGCGTCTGGAGCTGCTGAGCCTGGAGGTGTGGAGCCTGCGGCCACTGGACCTCCCCTGGTGGCGTCTGGCGGTGCTGAGCCCAGAGGTTCTCTGGGTGTTTCGTCTCAACAAGAGCTGCGTGAGTGGTTTGCTCGCCACTGGAGGCGTACAACAGGAGCTAGCGCTTTTTCGGCCGCTGAGGGTGCTGGTGCCGCCGGTCCCAGAGCTGCTGGGCCTGCGGGTCCGCCTAGAGCTGGAGCTGCTGAGGGTGTTGGTTCTGAGACTACTACTGTCCGTCGTGGTGGTGGACTTGCTGCGGGTGCTGCTGGTGCTGCTGGAGGTCATGCCGCTGGAGGTGCTGTTGGCGCTGGTGCTGCCGAAGGTGCTGAGGGTGCTGGTGCTGTCCCTACTGTGTCTGGTGCCGCCGCGCGGCCTCGACCGTACTTTGTTCCGCTCCATCAGCAGGTTCTTGGTCTTCCTCCTCTCTTAGAGTGTCCACCACCTGTCCAGTCGCAGTCACAGTTACCGCCGGCCTCCCCACTGCCTTCTCCGTCTCCGTACACTGGTCCTACTGGAGGTCTTGCTGAGCGTCATGAGCCTGCGTCTCATCCTGCGTCGCCTGGTCGCAGTTCGCGTCAGCGTCCTCCTCCTGTCCCTGGCACGCACCGAATGTCTCTGCGTCCGTCCACTGCTCCTCTGCGTGCCCCTTTGCCCTCTCCTCCTGAGTCCTCTCTTCCTGCGCTTGCCGACCCTGAGTCGAACTCTCTTCGTGCTGCCAGTCCTACTGTCACGCGTCTCCTTGCTACTGTCGTCACTGACCCCTCCTTTGAGTCCACTGCTGCGTCTGCTCTTGTTGCTGAGCTCGTCAACTTTGCTGCTCGCTGTCGTCTAGACTACGCTGCTAGTCTTGTTGCTGAGTCTGCGTCTGTCTGTCCTCCGTCGGTCGAGGGTGAATGTGCTCTTGGCACGGACGTCCTTGAGGACAGGCAAGAGAAGTTTCAGTGTCAGGCAGCTGCTTCACCTCATCTCGCGTCTGTACTGCTTGCCAATGAGGAAGACCCGGATACACTAGACATCCCGACTCCGCACTCTTACGCGGAGGCCGTAGAGGGTCCCTACTCCTCTCAGTGGCAAGCAGCTATGGATGCAGAGATGGCTTCCTGGAAGTCCACAGGCACCTACGTTGACGTGGTTCCCCCTCCTTGGGCGAACATCGTCAGTGGGATGTGGATCTTCAGGATGAAGCGGCCGCCAGGCTCTCCACCTGTCTTCAAGGCGCGGTACGTGGCTCGTGGCTTCAGTCAGCAGCAGGGAGTTGACTACTTTCAGACCTTCTCTCCCACCCCGAAGATGACCACTCTTCGGGTGCTGCTGCACATAGCCGCTCAGCGCGACTACGAGCTTCTTTCTCTTGACTTCAGCACTGCTTTCCTGCAAGGTAGCCTGCACGAGGAGATCTGGCTGCGCCGTCCACCTGGCTTCACTGGGACTTTCCCTCCTGGCACCCTGTGGAGCCTCCGACGGCCAGTCTACGGTCTCCGCCAGGCACCGCGTGAGTGGCACGACACACGGAGGACTACGCTTGCGGCTCTTGGGTTTGCTCCCTCTACTGCTGACCCGTCGTTGTTTCTGCGCACCGACACTTCTCTGCCGCCGTTCTACATCCTCGTGTACGTCGACGACTTGGTCTTTGCCACACCGGACACTTCTCGACTCGCCTGCGTGAAGTCCGAGCTGCAGAAGAGACACACGTGCACAGACCTGGGTGAACTGCGCAGCTACCTTGGCTTGCAGATCACTCTGGACAGAGCACGCCGCACCATTACCTTGACTCAGTCACACATGGTGCAGCAGGTCCTTCAGCGCTTTGGCTTCACGTACTCCTCGCTTCAGGCCACTCCTCTGTCTACTCGCCACTCGCTCTCAGCTCTGCCTTCGGATGAGTCCGTAGAGTCGAGTGGCCCGTACCCAGAGCTTGTTGGCTGCCTCATGTACCTGATGACCTGCACTCGACCTGACCTTGCATACCCTCTTAGCATCTTGGCACGCTATGTTGCTCCTGGGAGACACCGACCAAAGCACATGGCTGCAGCGAAGAGGGTGTTGCGCTACTTGTGCAGTACGTCGGGCATGGGGCTAGTGCTTGGAGGGTGGAGTCCAGTGGTCCTCACTGGGCACGCGGACGCTTCTTGGGCTGACGACCAGGCTACGCAGCGGTCGTCGCAGGGTTACACCTTCAGTCTTGGTTCCGGCTCTGTTTCGTGGCGGGCGACTCGTTCGTCTTCTGTTCTCGGCTCCAGTTGTGAGGCTGAGATCTACGTCGGGGCCATGGCTGCTCAGGAGCTTCGCTGGCTCACCTACCTACTGACCGACCTTGGAGAGGCGCCTCGTTCTCCTCCAGTGCTGTACGTAGACAACAAGGCCATGCTGGCCTTGTGTCGAGAGCAGCGCATGGAGCACAGAACGAAGCACATTGCTCTCCGCTACTTTCTTGCTCGTGAGCTGCAGCAGCGTGGTCAGTTGCGACTTGCGTACGTGGCCTCTGAGGCCAACACTGCTGATGTTTTCACAAAGGCACTTCCGCCTTGTGATCATCAGCGCTTCTGCACTCAGCTGGGACTTGTCCCAGTCTTGCCTCACTAGCTCACCTCTTGACCTTACTTGTACTCTTGCATATATATAGATATATACCTGCTCTTGCTTGTTTAGACTTATATATATATGTCTCCTCCTGCATGTGAACTGGCCTTGTGGCCTTGACCTTGTGCTCGGACTGTGTGGTGATGTTGTGATCCACCCTGAGCTTGCTTTGCTTTGCTTTGCTTGACTGGTCTTGTGACCCCTTGTTCTCCCCCACTTTGCCTATGGGGGTGTGTCAGAACATTATAGCTTATGCTTTTGTGTAAGCTATAGTGGGGTATCCCGTAGGGGGTACAACCCAATTAGGGCTAGTACTTGTACCTACTTCATTCATAGTTGATTCATTCGCGTTCAATCTTTCACATTCTCCTCCTCTGCTGCTGCCGTAACCAGTGCTAGGTAACCTGTGTTACTCTTGTTCACCGTGTGTTCGAACCGTGCCAGTGTTGTTTGAGGAACGCTCCCTGTATCCGTCAAGCTTCGCAGCTCCACTCGTTTCCCGTTGTTGTAGATGCTCGTTCTCCGGTTGACCCAGTCGATCTTGGGGTTGAACCGCTTAAGGAAATCTTGCCCCAAGAGGAAATCTAGTCCCTTGATGTTCGTGATCGGCAACGTCGGCTTCCACCTCAACGCCCCTATCTGCAGCTGCAGTGTTGACTTTCCGTGGATGGGAAGCTTCGTACCGTCCACCATCGTTGTTGTAAACTGGGTTTCTTCTTAGGATTCTCCAATTTTCTCCAACGTCCCGCGGTCGCACATCGAGTGGGACGCACCACTGTCCACCAGGGTCTGGAGGCGACGCCCGTTGCAGATCACCTCGAGTACTAGTGGTTGCTGCTGCTCCGAGTATCCGTAGATGGTATCGCTTATAGGATCGTAGGGTACGTCGAATATGTTATCCCTAGGTCCTGCGCTCAAAGATGCAGCTTCAGTATCAGTTTTCAACTGAGAAAGGTTTAGAAGGATTTATCTGAGGCCAATTCGGCTTCTCTTGGGCCTGGAACCTTCCACTAAGCCTTTGCAGCTGTGTAGGCTTCATCTGTGGGGAACAGGGAGCCTTTAAACAGTGCTGCTGGGAGAGAATATTAACTCCTCGGAACGCTCGACCCGTATTAGCGCTCTGGAGTAGGGTCCCCATAATACCCGGTACCGGTTTAATTTCTGACTCTTCCTTAATAAAGGCATGAAACCAACGAGAAGTAATATTCTTACTTGTCGGGGTATACGGCTGGAGTTTCCCGGTCGGTGCAGGGTCTTGTTTCGCGGATCCTCCATTAGTCTCGGCGATTGCCCCTGATGCCGGCTGGTCGTGACGTTTTAAATTTGCGCCACCATATTCTCCTTTTTTCGCCCTCTCCGAAGTTGCCACGTTGTCCGTTTTCTGCTTCGGGGGTGCCGCACTGTTCTTGTCCTTCAGCTCCGCACACCTTCTCTCCATTTTCCAACACGCCAAGATACGATGTCCTGTAGTGCCGCAAAATTTGCACGACTCATTATTTGCTAGCCGCTGCTCCACATCGCCCTCGTCGTTCTCCATCGGGTCGGCAGTCGTGGGTGGTGCCAATCGCCCCATGCCACTAGTTGGCTTGTTGCGTCGTGTTCCGTAGTAGCTACTGTTTAACGTGTCGAACTGTTCGATCAGTGCTGCCGAAACCTGCGCCCACGTCCCCTCGCCTTGGACTATTCTGTTGTTGGTCCACTCTAGAGCTGGGCCTCGTAACAGTGTTGCTGCGAGCCGTATGCGCATTGCGTCTTTTGTCGGGGTCGTGCATCTAACGGCTTCGAAGTCAATTTTGAGTTCAGCTACAAATCAACGAACGTCGTTCCTTTTTACTGTAGGATCGAACGCCTCCGGTAGCCTCAGCTTCACTGCTTCGAGGTTAACTGTAGCTGCTGCCGTTGTCACATGTAGAATTGTCAGTGTAGCCGCTGCTGCTGCTGCTATTGTTGTCGCTGCTGCTGTGGCGGTTGCCGACTGGTTCGCAAGGAGTTTTTCGAGTTGTGGGAGCGCTGAACGTATTTGCTTATGCTCAGCACGTAGCTCCGCGATTTTCTGTACTGAAATATCTCTTTTTTCCTCCATTTGGCGATCTACAGAAAGATGCGCGACGAAAATAACTGAATTCTAGGTGCTGGTCGACTTACTGCGAGTCAAATTGACTGTAGAATCGACGAGCGCGAATTCTGTAGATTGCGTAAATCTCCCTTAAGCGAAATTCGCGTCCGATCTTGGCCGTTGAGGAGAAAATCGATATGACGCTCCAAATTCCAACGTTTTGGGGCGAAATTCTCTGGGCCGTTGAGATGAAACTCGATCGAACGGTCGAAACTCCAACCTTTCCACCGGTAAATCTGAGGGGTGTTCGAAAACCGAATCGAGGGGGCCTTAGAAAAATTGTGCGGAACTGGTTTTACATACCCGTATCGGCGCTTTTGTCGTCGCCCCCGCGGTTTTTAAAGGCCGGAACTAAGCGGTTGAAGACCTCGCGTGTAAACCCGCTCTGATTACCAAGTGTGAGGATCTGGGATCGAGCTCAGAAAAGATGATTCAAATTGAATTGAATTGAATCGAATCGAATGTCCACCTGGGTACAACACGAGGCTATATATAGGCTCGACACAAGGCCCCGTAACCAGGTGTTACGCGAAGGTTCCGCGGGTCGCGAAGCGTCCCGAACAGATCCTTATCGAATTCGGTAGAAGGCAATTGGGTGGCAACCGAAAAGCCTGAATTCGGTGCACGCAACCTAGCTCGGTGCTATAACTATAATAAAGTATAGGAAAGCACCTAGCCTAGGAAATCAAGCAATTCATGCATGCATATAATTATCCTATGCTAGAAATAGCATGATAAAGTAAAGGCAAGCAAGCATAGCTGGCATAAGCCGTCGTATTCTCACACTCGCCGCCAGCAGTAGCACCGAGATGCTGAAGGAGCTGAAGGAGCTGCGGGAGTCCGCCTTCGCGCTGCGTGAGATCTCGCCGGTGCAGAAGTACCTTGGGCAGGAGATCGTCCGCGACAGGTCGGCGGGGAAGCTGTGGCTGCACCAGCAGGGCTACGCCGACAAGCTGCGTAGGCGCTTCATCGACGAAGAGCAGACCGGGCGCACACCAAAGACGCCGGTCTTGGTCGACGCCTACGCCGAGCTCACCTTCGTCGGCGAGGAGGCACACGAGCGACAAGAGGAGGAGTACCGACAGAAGGTCGGCTCGTTGCAAGTCGCGGCGACGACGACAAGGCCGGACATCGCCTTCCCCTGCAGAAAGCTGGGGAGCGGCCTCACGGTGAGGAGCGACCAGCACTGGCGCGAGGTCGATCGCTGCCTCGCCTACCTCGCCAACACGCGTGACACCGCCCTGGAGTTCGGCGGTGGACCTGAGTCACTAGAGCTGGTCGGCTACGTGGACGCCGACGACACCGGTGACAAGCAAAACAAGACGAGCACGGGCGGCTACGTGTTCGTCTACAAAGGGGCCGCAGTCTCCTAGTCGAGCCACCGTATCAAGTGCGCGACATTGTCGTCGACCGAGTCGGAGTACGTGGCGGCCACCAAAGCCGGCAAGGAGGGACGCCGACTTCGCTTCCTCCTCGTAGAGTTCAAGCAGCTGGATGCTAGGAAGCCAACCGTCCTTCGTGTGGACAACAAGTCGGCCATCACAGTCGCCGAGGGCATGGGGTTGACGGGCAACCTCAAGCATATGGAGCGGCGACAAGCCTGGCTGCAGCACATGGTGAGGCGCGGGAAGTTCTCGCTGAGGTACATCCCGACACCGAGCAGCCGGCCGACTTCCTGACGAAGGCACTGCATTATCCGGCCTTCAACCGGTGCTCCGTCGCCATCGGCCAGGTGCGCTTGGCCGACGTGGGCGACGAAGAGGACAACGTGCAGCAGTAGGTGCCATGCCCTGTTGCATGGCTGATGCGGTAGACGACGTGCTGTGTGTTGGGTGCACGTTGACGAGCTATTCTCCGAGGAGTACTGCCGTGTGGGCTGGAGGCCCAAGCGTGAACGCGGCAGAGGAGTGTCAACGGGAGTTGCGTGCTGGCTCCGTCCTAGCTTGGGCGGAGCCGACTTCGTGGGCGGGTCTGAGGGGAGCAGCTGACCTGCAGCAATGGGCGAGCTAGTTGACGGGGAGGTCGACCTTCACGGAGACCACTGTACGGACGCCGACTTCAGGGAGGTCAACTTGGGGAGTCGACCTGTGGTGACGTCAACTTGGGGAAGCCGACTTAGGTGGTCGGCTGACGGACTGCTAGTCGACCTGGTGGTTGGTCGACCAGGCCTGCTGGTCAACCTGGTGGTTGGTCGACTAGGCCTGCTGGTCGACCTGCTGATGGTCGACCTGACCTGGTGGTCGACGAAGGAGGGGCCGACGTCGACCTCGACTCAGGGAAGTTGGGCGTCGAGTAGCTTGGCGTCAACTTCATGACGCCGACTACGGGTAGCCGACTTGGGTGATCGGCCGACAACTGCGCCGGTCGACATGAAGTTGGTCGACCAGGACTACTGGTCGACGTAGAGCCGGTCGACCAGAAGGGACGTCGCCCTGGAGCTGGTCGACCAGGGGCGTGGTCGACCTGGTGAGGTCGACTTGGAGGTGGTCGTCGACTTGGGAGGTCGACGGGCACGTACGGGAGCAGCTGGTCGACGTGGTTGCCCGGTCGACCAGGTTACCTGGGTGATGAGATTCTGCGGAGAATTGCGACGGCCGACCAGGCGAAGTTGGCGAGCTCGACCTCCGTGGTGGTAACTCGAGGTCGACATGGCGGATTAGGTGGAGTCGTCAGCACGAGGGTGACTTGGTGTGTGCGTTGTCCAGGTGACGAGGCTCAGCCCGCCAATCATCTGCGCGCACGTGCGAAGCGGGTGCGCTGCTGTTCTGTGTGAGCAACACTAGCACGCCGTCAACCTGCGACGTTGGCACGCCGTCGACCTTGCACTGCAAGAACGTGGTCGACTAAGTCGTGCTGGAACGTGGTCGGCCAAGCTGCGCTGGGAGTTGGCCGACCTGAATGCTAGCTCTGATGTAGTCTTGCCATGCCAACTTCATTGTACCATTGTTGCCAACTTTCTCTAGTAAAACTCTTGCCAAGTTGCCCCGTGAACTAGCAAGCAGTGTGAGCACTAGGAAAACGACGAAGGACCAACAAACGCAGAGATCACACGAGCATCCGTGCCTAGCCCATAGTCTAGCTCCCGTTGTAGTAGTTATCTCCGCAGCGATGGTGCAGGCGACTGCGGGCTGGTATCCCGGAGTCGATGTG